GTTCCTAGAATGCCTTCCTGAGTCTTGGGACACCTTTTCTATGTGTCTCAAGATGTCAAATGACATGTATACTCTTTCTCTTTTACTTTATACGGGATTCTTCTTCACCATGAGCAATCTCATCAACTAAAAAGGAATCTTGTGAAAGAATCCAGGGAAATGAAAAGCTCTCTTTTAGCTTTGATCTCTGAAGCTTCTTCAGTTGAAACTCCTTCTACCCCTTTTGTTTCTTCTCTTCCTCCCGTGGTTATCACGGAGATCGATTCTTCCAAAGATATTCTAGAATCTGATTGAACAGATTTTTATGAGTCCTTGGCACTCCTGACTAAGTCATTTAGGAGATTCGCCAGTAAGAGCAACTTCCGCAGATCTCCTCAGCTATCCCTCAGGGAGAAGCCAAAGTCTGAAAGAATAGACAAGGCTTCAGCTGTCTGCTACAACTGTCACCGGCCCGGACATTTTGCAGGCGAATGCAAATCAAAGGAGACTGCGACGCCATCTTCTAAAGCTCTTTCCTCCTTCAGGACCAAAGATGAAAAATACTTGAAACTGGAGAAGTATAAGAAGATGAAGAACAACCAGTGAAAGGCTAAAGGCTTTATTGCTGAAGATCATGATTGGGCTGAATCATCCGATGAATCATCTTCAGATGAAGAGGATAAAGCCTACATCTGCTTGATGGCCATAGATGTTGATGAAGGATCTTCTTACGTGTCTATCTCCTCTGAGCCATCTTCTTCTTATACTCAGGTATGTTTCCTGAATGAACCCTCTTCTTCTTCTAGTCTTTCTRCACTAGATACGCTGACGGTTGACCTTTACAATGCCCTCAATGGCAAATCGAAAGCTGAAATGCTTAACATTGATCTTCAAGAGCAATTGAAGATCTGTCATTCTAAGATCAAAGAACTGACCTATGTTGAGGAAAATCTTAAAGATCAGGTTATTGTAAACCAAGCCATTACTATTGAACGTGAGAAGGTTATCGCTGAGCGTGAGCGAGCAATTGCTGAACTCAAGGCTGAGAAAGCTACCATTGAAGGGTGGTGCAAAGCTTCCATCAAGGCCTCTGAGATTATTAATGCTTAGATCCCCGCCAAGACAAAGACTAGTCTAGGATTCTCCTATGATCAGGAAGAATGTGTTAAAGACAGAACCATGCTCAAGTTTGGTACCTTTGTCTCTTCYATTCCCAACACTTCTTCCTCTCAGTCATCTTCTTTTACAGAGAGTCATCTTGAAGGAACTCCTTTGAGTTCTGGGTGCAAAGACAAAGGKRAATCCATTGTCACAGCATCCCTTCCCAAGAAGTCTAACAAGTCTAATAGATCTAGGTCTATTCCTTCAACTTGTAAAGCTTCTTCTTCTTTAGGGACTAAGAAATCTGAACTGCATCAGAAATCTAAGTCACGGCTCAAGGTGAACTTTTCACCTAAGGAATCCAATTCCTCAAAGGTTCCTCCTAGAAACAATGAGAAGGGAATTCTTGGAGCTGGTCCCGCTTCTAGTCTGATACTTCCTGGCCCTAAAACTACTCCTAGCTTTAGGAAGTGTAAACATTGTTGTGAGAAAACACATATTGCTAGCAAGTGTCCTTCTACTGCCAAAGCTGGTTCACCAGCGAAGGGCAAGAAAGTAACCAAGGCTGAGAAATCAACTAAGGTGAAATCGTCCACAAAGGTTGCTCTTGCAACCAAGGTGAAGAAAACCGTTGAAGCCTCTTCTTCAGGCACAGCGAAGATAACTCCTGTTCAAAAGTCTTTTCAGCATCAGACGTTGTAATTCCAACCACTGAAGTCTCTTCTTCAGGCTCAGTGAAGACTTCCACTGAAACTACCTTAGTGGTGTCAAGGGTTGTTCCTCTTTCCATTCAAACCTCTTTAGGTTTAGTGATGCCATCAACTGTTACTGATTCGTCAGCATCATATGATGAAGCCTCTAACATAGCTGGACCCCAATAGCTGGGTACCAATAGCAATTCTTATTTTGTTTCCTTTCTCAGGATATCAAAGGCATATGGTATTTGGTCAGTGGCTGTTCAAGACATATGACTGGAGATATATCTCTTCTATCTCACTTCAAGGAAGAAAGAGGACCTTCCGTAACCTTTGATGAAAATGGAAAAGGATATACCAAAGGCTTTGGTATATAATCCAATGGTGCAACAACTTTCAAACGCGTTGCATATGTTGAAGGACTGAAGCACAATCTTCTTAGCATCAGCCAACTGTGTGATAAATATTATACAGTTAAATTCTCAAAGAATTTTTGTCATATTCTTGACAAAGATGATAAGGTTGCTCTAACCGGTTCTTGTCTAGAGAATGTTTATATCATCAACATGAACTCTCCTCTCACCAAGAATAGCTGCTTCTTCTCCAAAGTCTCATCAGATATTAACTGGTTATGGCACAAATGGCTATCTCATCTCAACTTCAAGACACTCAGTGAGCTGTCAAGAAATGATCTTATCACAGGTCTTCCTCAACACTCGTTTGCAAAGGAATCTATTTGCTCATATTGTGAGAAAGAAAAACATACAAGAGCTAGCTTTAAGTCGAAGCAAATCTCTTCAGTGACTGCGCCTCTTCAACTATTGCATATGGATCTCTTTAGTCCAGTCAATGTGCAATCTCTAGCTGGAAAGAAGTTCACACTTGTCATTGTTGATGAGTATGCCAGGTACACTTGGGTATTCTTTCTAAGATCCAAGGATGAAGCACCTGAAGAAATTATTTCGTTCATCAAAAAGATAGAAGTACTAAACAATGTTAAAGTACGATCTATCAAAAGTGACCATGGTACTGAATTCAAAAACAGTACTATGGATAACTTCTTTGAGGACAAGGGAATCTCTCACAACTTCTCTTCTGTGAGAACTCCTCAGCAGAATGGGGTCGCTGAAAGAAGATATTGAACAATCATTGAGGCTGCTTGATCAATGCTCAGCGAATCTCATCTCCCTACTTAATTCTGGGCTGAAGCTGTCAACACCGCTTGTTTCACTCAAAACCGATCGCTGATCATGAAAAGATTTAAGAAGACAGCCTATGAACTCTTCCATGGATGAAAGCCTTCCATAAGCTTTCTTCATATATTTGGTTGTACTTGTTATATTATTAACAACCGCGACCAACTTGGAAAGTTTGATCCCAAAGCTGATAAAGGAATCTTTCTTGGATATTCTTCTGTATCCAAAGCCTTCAGGGTATTCAACAAACGAAGACAGACGATAGAGGAATCTATTCATGTCACTTTTGATGAATCTCAGTCAGCTAATTCAAAACCTATCTCAAATGATGAGGATGAATTAGATAACTGGATGATATCTCACTACGGACAACCTGAAGCTTCCTACAGTGCTCCTCTTAACACTGAATCTCCAGAAGCTGAAGATGATCCACTCATCATTCCAGTTACAGCTAGTCACTCCACCGCATCTTCTTCAGAGATTGCTGCAGTGCCCATTAGTTGTGTACCTCCTTCTACTTCAAACACTGATCCATCAGTGAATGAAATGCCTTCAGTTTCTGAACCAGTTTCAGTTGTTGAATCTGAGGCTCCTTTGGCAATAGTCCCTATTGCTGAAGAAACTGTTGTTGAAGCCTCATCTTCCATACTTGAACTTGCCTATTCAGATGAAGCTCCTCTACCGGCTCAGCGATGGACTAAAAGCCATCCAATTCATCAAATTCTTGGTGATCCAGATGCAGGTATCAAGACACGTCGAGGTCTAGGTAATATCAGTCTCTTTGTCAACTTTCTTTCTTTAGTTGAACCCAAGAAAATCAATGATGCTATCTCTGACCCTAGTTGGGTTTTTGCTTTGCAAGAAGAGCTCATTGAGTTTGATAGAAACAAAGTCTAGTACCTTGTACCACGTCCATCTGACAAATCAGTGATAGGCACCAATTGGGTCTATCGCAACAAATTGGATGAAAATGGTGTGGTAACCCGCAATAAGGCTCGGCTTGTTGCTCAGGGTTATAGACAAGAAGAAGGAATCGATTATGATGAAACCTTTGCACCAGTGGCTAGACTCGAAGAGATTCGACTCTTTCTAGCCTTTGTTGTCCATAGAGACTTCAAGGTCTTTCAAATGGATGTAAAGAGCTCTTTCATTGATGGAAAACTTCATGAGGAAGTTTATTTTGAACAACCTCCAGGGTTTCTTGACCCTAAGTATCCAAACCACGTCTATAGATTGGATAAAGCTCTTTATGGGTTAAAGCAGGCTCCTCGTGCCTGGTATGACMCCCTTTCTTCTTTTCTCATCTCTGAGAAATTCTCTCATGGAAAGATTGACCGGACCTTATTTTTTAGGAAAGTTAAAGGTCATATCATTCTCGTCCAAATTTATGTCGATGATATTATTTTTGGTTCCACTAATCCCTCTTTATGTTTTCGTTTCGTTGAACTCATGAAGAAAGAATATCAGATGAGCATGATGGGAGAACTAACATTCTTTTCAGATGTACTCCACTTGCTTATGTGCAAGATATCAAGCTGGAACTAAGGCATCCCATATGATCGTTGTCAAACGCATATTCAGATATCTTAAGGGAACTTCTAATATGGGTCTTTGGTACCCTAAAAGTTCAGGTTTTGACCTTATTGGTAAAGGATAGTGCTTTGACAGGCACTCTAACCCTACCATATTGCATTAAATGTTCATTTAATGCACTAGGTATAAATAGAAGTGTTTCTTCTCCATGCAGAGTGCGCGCAACTCATTCTCTAACCCTAATTCTTACTTCAAGCATTTTCTAACTTAAGTAGAGGATCTTCTTTACATCAATTTATTTTCTTGTATTTGCTAAGACTTTGTGTGTAACCAAAGATTGTTTAGATAGGTTTTTATTACCTTATCTTTCCGCAAACAATCTTGTAAAATCTGTATTGGTCTTCTCTATCAATATATATTTTAAATTTGAAAATATTGTGTATGTGTTCATCCCCACCCCCTTCTACAAACTGTTTCTCTTCTTGTAGACCCTCACAGGACCAACAACTTTGCATATGGAACAGACAAGTTGATACAAAACATGTGATTAACCAAATTCACCTCATTGATTGCAGGTGACTCATATATACTCCCACCACAATGTAGCTTATAGACACAACACTGACTTTGATGATCAAGGCCATAGAGATTATGGTCATAAGATCCACACCTGTACATCATAGAATATAAATAGTTTAGAAGTTTAAAAAAGAATATCCATCCAATAGAAGAAAACTTGGTGTCAATTCAACCCGAAAGAAGCAAATTTTGTTAGAACTAATCAAATCTCTTAGGGGCCGTTTATTTAACATTTACCCGGATAAGCACTTACCAAGTCACATTACCTCACCGGATAAATATGGACCATAAGTCCTACCCGGTAAAGTGAGGGCAAAGACTCTTACCACGGTAAACACTTAAAGGGTAAATTGTTGCATACAATGTCGTTTTGGTGGACTAAAATCTTACCCGATAAGTAAATAATAGTGTTAAATTTTACTGGTAAGCACTTACTGGATAAGCTCTTGATAAACAGCCCCTCTGTTTCTAGACCTGAACTCTATGACCTTCAGTTGAATTCTTGGAGATGTTGGAACTATTCAAATCATGTAGTTTCTAGACATAAACTACTAAAGTTGGACCAAAGTGAAGATTGCACCCAAAACAACTTTATTTGCACCGCATGTGCTTGCAAATGCAGTCTGGTTTGATTTGAATGGAATAAACTTCATAATGTTTAATCCTTAATGTGGTTATAAGTCAGTAAAGAGTAAAGACTTCTTCCTTAAAAAATGTTGGTAGACTTGGATCATTGCTTATGTGAAAATCCCTATTGTATTTTTGTTGCAAAGAATAATGATTGGCTTTAGTTATCAACACTCTCTAAAGGCAAGCCTTTGTTTCTATGGTGGGGACATATGGTTACTAAACTGCCGATATCACCTCTGAGCTTGCAAGGGTAAGGCTGTAGAGAAAAACCAGTATACTTAAGTGCTCCATAACCCATACACTATTGAATAAATGAATTATAAAATAAGGGTGTATGCAAAAGTGAACATTACCAGACCAGATGTCTCTGCTTGTCTGCCACTGGTTGTGACTTTACCTTCAAAAGATATTTAGAATGCTTTGTTAAATAATTCTTCGGGATAGACACTTGAATGAACACCCAACATAAATAACTGCAATAACCTTTATATACAACCCAAGCAGCAGATAGAAAACCACATAATTACAAGAAAATATTAAAAAAGAAAGCACACTTACAAGGATAGGAAATTGCAACAATCACTACGAATACATATTGAACAATGGTGTAACAAAACTTAGAGGCTTTCTACCAAATGCTCTTGTAGGTATTACAAAAAAAATTGTCTAAAAGCACCTTTAAGAAACTATATTAAGATCTCAAACGTAACCTAGGTCCCGATTTCTCATAAATCTGCATCGTATTCAAGTGCCAATTCTCACAAATCCACAACACATGATGCAGGTTCTGTAGAATTTGAAACTTCTAGAGGAATCTTCTAATAAGAACTTCAAATTATCAAAGCTCCATACGATAAACCAACAATTTCAAATGAAACCAAAACAACTTATAGTGGTTGATACTTATTACCTTCATTTCAAAAACATGGTAAAGTTTGTATTTTGATCCCAACGTACATATTTTCAAGTCATTCACTATATTTAAATTTACGTTAGCAACAAAGGCTACAAATGCAACATGTTAATGTTGAAATCTAAAGAAAGATCATATCAACTTTGAATTGTAAGGTTTAACAGACAGAGTTTATATTGCCTTCAAAGTGAAGATAATACTTTTGACCAGACCATGCAACAATACCTCCTCTACTTGTGTTTTAGCATGTATGGATGTAAGTCATATATTGATTAATAACACCACCCTGCTGTTGAATGCAACTGCTAGAAATTGATCTAAATGAAACTCAGATTGGATCATTAATTGCATATCCAGTTACACAAGGTTTCTTCTTTCTCCTTCTATTCCTTCCCCCTAGAGATTTAGATATTGATATTGTTGGTATGTGACTTTGAATTGTTTAAGTGTGGATCTTTTAGTACTTTTAAAGATATGTACATAAGAGATTCAATCAATAATATAAAGCTACAATTGGAGCTGATTTTGTGACCAAGGAGTTACAAATAGATGACGAGATTGTTACAGTGCAAGTAAGGTTTCTATAACTGACCACTAATTCGATATTATTTTGCATTATGTTGATCTAGAGTCACGATATTTTTGGTTGATTAATTGGTTAGATATGGGACACTGTTGGCCAGGAGAGGTTTCAAAGTCTTGGTGTTGCATTTTATAGAGGAGTCGATTGATGTGTTTTTAGTGTATGATGTAAATGTAAAGCGATCATTTGACACACTTGACAATTGGCATGAGGAATTTCTCAATCATGTAAAAGATATCCATTGCGATCCTTTCTTACCAGTTGCTTTGGTGATGACCTTAAAATCTTAACCTTTAATACATTGAAGTTTGTTTGAATAATCTTGAGCAGGGTCACATTTTGTAAGAAATCGGACAGCATTAAACACTAACCTAATAAACTTCATGGTAATCTCTTAGAACCTTAGATAGCTTTTGAGTTATTTGGATGGTTTTCAGTGTAGTCAAAGTGACACTGCAGTTGAAAAGGCATCAAGTTACTGTAGTTGACAAAAGCACAAAATATTTAGGCAGGAAATTATGTGTCTTTCTGAACTACTTGGCATATCAAATCACTCATATTCTTATTTATAAATTAAAGGCTCCAATTGCTTAAGTTACTGAAACTGTTCATTTATTTTCAATCTCATATTATCTTAGGTTTTAGTGCTCACAATACTTGGTTTTTGTTTTTGGGGTTACAACCATAAATCAAGCAATAACAACATAGAAGATGTAAAGGGAAAACCGAAACCGGTTTGATCTTCTGATCAATGATGTTCATATGCCAGATATGGATGGTTGCAAGCTTCTTTGTGACACACCCAAACACCACATATGCATATAACAAATATTTCATTCAAAGAAATACAATTTACACCACATTTGGTCCCACTAGTACAAGGATTCTTATATGTACAAAATCTACATATGAAAAATTCCAAAATAAAATCCTGTACTAACACATGTATAACCAAATGTATCTTCAAAATAAGCAATCATTATGCTGGTCTTGAAAAGCAAATAACATATAGGGAAACATTTACATTTTCTCTTTCCCCTTACTACCCCTTGACCCCGTAGTTCTTGCATTGCACATTTTTGAAACACAAAATGAGGGTTAGAACAGAAGGGTCTAGTTAATAAATCCCTTCTTCCATATGCAGGGTGATAAACACCAAAATCTGATAAAATAATTTTTACACAAAAATATTTGCATTTCAGCAAAATAATGTAATTTCAACATGGTCGAAGTATAGTCAACAGTAAACTTCATTCCATGATTCAAATGTACCTACCTCATACCCAGAGCTCAAAACTAAGCTCTCAACTTAACGGGCCAGAGCCCCTCTGGTTCAACAGACCAGAGCCGCTCTGGCTCTACAGACCAGAACCCTTCTACCTTACCAGAACCCTTCTACCTTACCAACCAGATCCTCTAGTTCTACTAACCAGAGCCTCTGTATCTAAGTGAACCAATGGCCAACCACAGGTTCTCTAGACCAAATAAAACCTTAGGTCCAGAAGAGCATAACATGAATTAGAAAGACAATTGAACTAGAGTTAGAGCTCCTCTGACTCTTAAACTTTATATGCAAATATTTTTAAAGAATAAACACATAACTAAAATACAAAGCTTCTGTATAAGACATACAGAGCCTTTGATTTATAAAAAATGCCCAAAGTATTTAACATCCTTTTCACATAATCAGAGGTCCTTTAGTCCTTGCTCAAAGACCAACCGGAGCCCCTCTATATGTATTGAAACAGTGATGAGAAGTTAGGCAATAAATGCCTCTGATGACAAACTATTTTCCCCTTCTCAATAACATCTAAATTATTATTTATAAAAAGAACAATATCTCTAAGTCATCAAATCACAAAGAAATGATGATTTAGAGTCATTGTATCTCATGAGTGATAATAATAAGAGCTATAATATCCACATATGAAAATGTCTCCCTTATTCCAAGGTATACGTCTCCTTGATATGCCACCCTTATTCATTCTTCAAAGCAGGGTTACTTGCCAGAACAAACAAATGTCACCACGTCTGGAAGTACCCATCACCTAGTTCCAAGCCAGAACAGACAAATGTCACTACGTATGGGGGAACTACCTCTTAAAACAAGTTTCATACCAAAACAGACATACGTCACCATGCTTGGTAGAAACATTTCCCAAAATAAAGTTCCATACCAAAACAGACTTACGTCAGCACGCTTGGTAGGAACATTTCCCAAAATACAATTTCATACCAAAACAGACTTACGTCACGATGCTTGGTAGGAACATTTCCCAAAATACAGTTTCATACCAAAACAGACTTATGTCACCACGCTTGGTAGAAAAGTTATATTTTTACTTTAAAAGATTTAAAATACCCCTTTTCACAATAACAAATTTAACACCCAAAATAATTGTTAAATTGTGAAAATTCCAATAATTCAAAATTTCAACACTTAAGGATTCATACGGATAATGTATTATCCGGACAAGCTATCCGGCCAACACATGTCCGGACAAGCTTGACTGGATTCCATATCCGATCAACAACAACTCCCAATAGAAAATCTCATATCCGGATATACTTATCCGGTCAACACAATTGTCAAATATAACATTCTCCAGACAACGAGATGTCTGAACATAAAATCCTTATCAATCAAGTGACAGTCAAACTCTTATCCAGTCAACACATAAACCGGACTTAACCCTATCCGGACAACACAATGTCCGAGCATGGTCTAATCCGGATGTTACTCCATCCGAGCAATCTCCAACCCCAAAAAGCATAAAGGTCAATTCGGACAATATTATGTCCGGATACAATCCAATCCGATCACCATAGTGTCCGGTGAAGGATATAAATCGGACATTAAATTATTCAAGAACAGTGATCAAATTTTAGTATAAGCTTATATCAAAACTCAAATCAGTAACAAATTTTGTATGTAAAGATATTTTGAAACCACTCACCTTATGCCAAAAGCTCAGAATTTTGAAGATGTAATAGCAAGATGAATCCCCAACTTAATTTTTCCAAATGCAGACAAAATCATAGAACTTTATCTCTCAAAAATTTCAAAAAGAGGCAAAAGACCTTTGCCTTCACCCACATCCTTCTATTTATAATTTCTTAAAAAGGAAAGTCAGCTTCCCATCTATATTCATGCATGCATATTCCTAAAATACCACCCAATGCACCCCCCCACACACATACATATATATAGATACATATATATAGATACATATATATATATATATTCATACCTCATGCATGGAAACATATTCATGCACATACAAATTCATCTCATGCATATAATCACATCATATGCATATACACCCATTTAATTCATGCATATATTCCCACGCATGAAAATACTCATACTCACAAATTATACTTCTATAAGCATGTATCCACGTAATCAAATAATCGTATATTCACATAATAAAATGCCGCGGGTGATAACCAGGACCCTGTTATCACATTATCCACCCCTCAAAAGAATTCCATCATGGAATTCCTTTAATCAAAAAGCCACGGATATTTGGTCCTCATCTCGGATTTCAACAACCAGGTTGCCTCAGAACCCTTGTGATGATGCCACTGAACCTTTAACATATTGATTTCTTTAATTCTTAGAATCTTTGTTTTCAAGTTAGTTATTGCCTCTAAGGTTTCCACAAAATTCAGCTTACTATTTAGCCTGACTTCTGGTAGAAGCACTTCCAGACTCGGGTCTGCCAAACACTTCCGTAGATTAGGCACGTTGAAAGTGTTATGTATTAAACTAAGCTCCTCTAGTAGCTCCAACTGATACGCAACCATCCTAACTCGCTTACAGATTTTGAATGGCCTAATGTACCTTCGACTGAGCTTACCTCTCTTACCGAATTTGACTACTCCTTTCCATGGCGAGACTTTCAGCATCACATAATCTCCCGCAAAGAATTCAATTGGCTTATGACATCTGTCAGCATAACTCTTCTGACGGTCTTGAGCAGTTTTGATCTTTTCTCTGATTTGCTCAATCTTCTCAGAAGTGACCTGAACAATTTTTAGCCCTGTTAACTGTCTTTCACCCACTTCATTCCAACATAACAGTGTTCTGCACTTTCGGCCATAAAAAACTTCATACGTTGCCGCCTGAATGCTGGAGTGATAACTGTTGTTGTACGCAACTTCAATCAATGGCAGATGATCTTCTCATGATCCTCCGAAATCTATAACACATGCACTCAACATATCTTCAAAAGTCTGAATCGTTCTTTCACTCTGCCCGTCAATATGTGGATGATACGCCGTACTCAACCGAATCTGAGAACCCAAAGCTTTCTGAAAACTTTCCTAGAATTTGGATGTAAACCTTTCTAACGGATAATTCTTTTTTATTAGAAGAAAGTGAGCAGATTTCGATAAACGATCCACAATAACCTTTATGGCATCATATCCTTTTGGAGTTCGAGGCAATTTCATAATGAAATCCATCGTGATATGATCCCATTTCCACACAGAAATTTCTAAAGATTGCTTATTCCCATATGGCCTTTGGTGTTCAGCTTTCACTTGCAAGCACGTCAAACACCATTCCACATACCTTGCTATGTCTTTCTTCAATCCAGGCCACCAATAAAAGGGTTTCAAGTCTTTGTACATTTTATTGGTGCCAGGATGAATAGAATACCGGGATTTATGACTTTTGTTCAAAATAACTTCTTGTGTATTTCCATAGCATGGTACCCATATCCTACCTTGAAAACATAAAGTTCTTTGTCATTCTTTTCCAAGGTAGTAATCAATTTACCCATCCGTTCACTTTTGAAGTTATCTTCTTTGACAGCTTCCTCCTGACACTTTGAAATCTCATTGTAAAGATATGGCAACAGACTCATTCTCATAGTCATTACCCTGATCGTACCACATTTCTCTTTTCTGTTTAAGGCATCTGCTACCACATTAGTTTCCCTGCATGGTAAAGGATTTCACAATCATAATCATTTACCAACTCGATCCATCATCGTTGCCGCATGTTTAGCTCCTTTTGATTGAATAAATGTTGGAGACTTTTATGATCTGTAAAGATCTGACATTTAGTTCCCATCAAATAGTGCCTCCAAATTTTTAGAACAAAAATTATGGCTGCAAGCTCCATGTCATGTGTTGGATACTGTTTCTTATGATCTTTCAACTGTCTGGATGCATAAGCAATTACTTTCCCCCTCTGCATCAGAACACAACCCATACCCAGCTTCAAAGCATCACTGTAGACCATTAAATCTTATGTTCCCTCCAGCAAAGACAGAACTGGAGTGCCGTACAGACGATCTTTCAATAACTGAAAAGCATTATGTTGATCTTCTTCCCACTGAAACTTAACATTTTTTCCGAGTCAACTTCGTTAATGGTACTGCAATCTTTGAGAAATCCTGGTTAAACTTCCTGTAGTATCCTGCTAATCCCAGAAAACTACGGACTTCAGAAGGAGTTCTTGGTGCATCCCATTTTTCTACAGCTTCGATCTTAATAGGATCAACTTTTACTTTTGCTTCAGATATGACGTGACCCAGAAATTGAACTTCTCTTAACCAGAATTCAGATTTGGATAATTTGGCGTACAGCTTTTCTTTCTTCAGAAGTTCAAGGATCATATGAAGATGCTCAGCTTGCTCTTCTTTAGACTTACAATATATAAGAATATCATCGACAAACACAATAACTGTAACACCCCATTCCATATATTGCATGTAACATATATTTCATACACAAGAGATACATGTTTATACACCACATAGGTCCCTTAGTACAAGAATCTACCAGTACTGAATACATGGTCCAAAAATTCAAAATACTATTCTTGTACTAATCAAGTTTCATTAACCAAAACTATACACATCATCAGCAAATCTTCATGCAGATAAACACATAGGGAATTATCATATTTTCCTTTTTCCCTTACCGTCTGCACCTCCTGCAATACATATTTAAAAACACAAAACGAGGGTTAGACCAAAAGGTCTAGTGAGTTCTCCTTTGATGCTATTGCAGGGTGAATATCACCAAATGCCACCCTTATATCCAAAGGTACACCTCTCCTTGATATGCCACCCTTATCCCATGGTAAACCTCTCCTTGATATACCACCCTTATCCCATGGTACACCTCTCCTTGATATGCCACCCTTATATCTTCGCCAAAACATTTCACAAAAACAATTCCATATAGAATAGACCGCAGTCAATGGAATATTATCAGATCAAATTCATTTTATCAAAAATTCCCATTTCTCAATTAAAGATCAACAAAATGATAAGTTACCACATAATCCGGACAAGCCTTGGTCGAACTACCAATCCGGACAACACTTCTCATTGTGTCCGATTTACCACTTAGAATAATCCTCAAAACCTTGTCCGGATTACTAATCCGGACAATACTATTCATTACTTGCCTGATTTACCAATCTGGAAAACACAAGGCTTTGTCCGATTTAACAATCTGAACACTTCTTAGTCGTATTCCTACTTCTACGTTTAAAACACTTAACATAAATTCAAAGTTCATAAATCGGTAAACTCATAAAACGGCCAGCACTTGATCGGATTATCATTAAACCGGGTGAGACCATGTCCGATTTACATAAAACTCGCCCAACACATTGTCCGATTTACGTAAAACTCGCTCAACACATTGTCCGGTTTTCATAAAATTCGCTCAACACATTGTCCGGTTTTACACATTAAATCGGGTGATAGTTCATGTAATTCAGTTATGCAATTCATAAAAATGCATAAAACGATTTAACCACTCACCTTGAAAGCGTTTTGAAAATCAGCCACTTGAAAATTTAGCTTGTAATCCGCTCAAGAGTAATCCGATCAAACTCCTCTTCTAAATCGTGCAACTTACCCAAAATAGCCAAAAAAGAAAATTGGAGGTTTCAATCCTCCTTTTATACCCTTTCCAAACAGGGAAGGCGATTACTCATCCTCCCCCTATATGCATACATACATCATGCATGTATCTAAATTCATGCATAAATATCATGCACACACATCTATATATATATATATGTATATTTCATATTATGCACATCAATATCATACCTATGTATAAAATACACATACTTATGTTTTTAACCCATGTAAGCATGTATCCATATAAACAATTAATCACATAATAAATACCTTGGGTAATAACCAGGACCCGGTTATCACAATAACAAATTTATCAAGATATTGACTACATACTCGGTTCATTAGATCCATGAAAGCTGCATGAGCATTGGTTAGGCCAAAAGGCATAACCAAAAACTCATGATGTCCATACCGAGTTCGAAAAGCTATCTTAGCAACATCCTCCTCTCTGACTTTTAACTGATGGTATCCGAATCGCAAATCGATTTTTGAAAAGTAAATGGCTCCCACCAGTTGATCAAAAAGATCATCGATTCTTGGTAGAGGGTACTTATTCTTAATTGTCAGTTTATTCAATTCCTGATAGTCAATGCACATCCACATTGATGCATCCTTCTTTTTGACAAATAAAACTGGTGCACCCCATGGTGAGGTACTTGGTATGATAAAACCCTTGTCAAGAAGATCTTTTAACTGATTAACCAACTCTTTCAGCTCTGATGGCGCTAGCCGGTATGGTGCTTTTGCCACTAGCGCTGCCCTGGGTACTAGATCTATCGTGAACTCAATAGATCTATTTGGCGGTAGACCAATCAAGTCTTCCAAAAAGACTTTCGGATAATCACATACAACTAGAATCATCTCTTTGTTTACTCTTTTCCTTCCTTGAATCTACCACATAAGCCAGATACCTCTAACATCTTTTATGAACACATTTTCGGGCTTTCAGAACCTTAACAAGTTAGTATGGTGATCCTGCCGATCACCATAAATAACAATCGGTCCTTTCCTGGGTAGATCAATACTGATCATTTTCTTGTTGCACAAAATACTAGCCCGATTTTCTGCTAACTAGTCCATTCTCATGACAACGTCAAACTCTTTAATCGGCATAGGGAAAAGTTTGATCGGCAGCCCACACCCCTCAATATCAATTACACAGTTATTGAACACATATACAACAGATTCTTGACTACTAGCAGTATCAACTACTAATATATTGTCAAGTGGCACAGAAGTCATGCATGCAATTTCAACAAATAAGGGTGATACGAACGAAAAGTTCGCACCTGAATCAAACAGCACCTCAACAAACAAGGAATTGACAAGAAAGGTACCTGTTACCACATTTGGCGTTGCTTCAGCCTCATTCTTTGTCATTTGGAATGAGCGGCCCTGTGCCCCACTCTGACCTCCTCTCGGTGCACTAGGCCTTCAAAGGTTACTTGGAGCATTTCCACCCATTGTCAAACGAGGAGCCCTTAATTGTGGATAATTCGGCTGAATATGGTCAAGTGATTAGCACTGAAAACACCTTTTGGGTGTAGTGCAATCTCTTGACAGATGTCCTGCCTCACCACATCGGTAACATCTCTTAGGTTCAGATGGACAATTTCCCTGGTGCACCTGCTGACACCGCGGACAAGCTCCAACAGGTGGCGGCTGAGAAGGGCGATTATCTGACTTTGCAAATTTGGGTCTTCGAAAACTAGCTGAAGACCCTTCCCATTTTCATTTTCTCCATAACTTTCATCTCACCCTGCCGATTTTTGTTTCTTTCCATAACCTCAGCAGCATTTACGGCTAAGGAGAAGGTAGCAGGGTCCATTGCGATCACAAATTCCCTAATAAAAGGTTTCAGACCCCAAATGTATCTTTCCACCTTCCGAGACTCCGAAGAGACTTAGTCTTCTGCAAAACGGGAATACTCAATAAACTTCTCAATATAATCCCGTATAGACCTATTTCCCTGCTCTAATTTCAGGAAATCCTCTTCCATTTGCCTTACTGCAGCCATAGGACAGAATTGTGTTTTAAATCTGGTCACAAATTCTTCCCAAGGCATTGTTTGCAGAGTATTTGGTTGTGCAGTGGACTCCACATCCCACCAATATAAAGCATTAGACTTCAGCATAAATGCTGCAAATCTAACCTTATCCTGTTCAGAACACCTACTGATGTAAAATAGTGATTCAATTTTTTTATCCAACACAATGTTTTTACTCGATCTCTCTCCCGAAAACGTTGGAGGTTTGCAAGTCAAGAACATTTCTATTAGCTTTATTTTTAAAGCTAATAATTAACTTGAAAAAGTTTCATGAAACAATCCAGAGCTAGAGGACGAATTGAAGAAGGATCTGCGCCAAAAC